CTGATTTGCTATGCTTTGGAACCTTTGACTTGCTGTATACCCTGCCCCCTTTTCCTGATACTGGTGTACGAAGGGGGCTGTTAACCACTTCAGTGTATCCAGGACTGGTAGTCCACTCATGGAAGCCTTCACAATCTTCTGTTTCACTCTTCCGCTTCAGAGGCTGAGAATCAACAATTGTGTTTGCAGAATTTTAATAAGCAATTTGAGGAAATAAATTAACTGCATCACTAAATTGCAATATGTTCATAGGCATACAATTTTATGATGAAATAACTGAAATGAAGTACAATTGTAAAATGTGCACTCAAGCTTTGATCAGTATTTCTTGTTCCATTAGAGGGAATATTAAAACATGACTATTCAACTAAAAGGAATAATCCAAGGTATCCTATCCGCACTTCAAATGACAGATTCACAATATATAGTAATGGCACATATTCTAGTTTGACATACTAGTGTCCATTATAAAAATAATGAGCTACAGTAGTACACATCCAAAGAAATACCTAAACTCCAAAGCAAACTTACCAATGTGTGGTGTTTAAGTCACAGTTTTTCAATATATATATATATATATATATATATATATATATATGTTTGAATGTAACAGCATACTATGAGCAATAGTGAGACCATTGAGATAGTTTCTGCCAAACATAGATGTAAATACAATGGGCCTAGTCTTCCAATATATACTACAAGAATACCTATTGAAGAAGATCGTTGCCCCAGCTATCATTATGGCCATAATAAACCTGAAATTTACATAGCAAGACTTATAGATAGGAAGTGTCTTTGCCAACTTTTAAAGAATTGGTACAAAGGGCTCCAAAAATAGTGGAGGCAAAGGTTTATATATAAATCGATAAAAGCATTTCCACTATATATACATAGGAATTGAAGAAACATTTAATTAATGAATTATTTAAATGAGAAGAGATGGCATTGATATAATTGGTACCTGTTGGAAAATTCTCACTAAGATCCATTCCTTGAGATTCCTCAATCCACCCAATCCTACAGTAGAAGTTCAGGACTGTTATCAATCTTGAATCTTAATGGATTTTAGGTTCGAAAATAAGAAGGAAGGTAAAGAGAAAAGAGGAGGAAGAGGGAGGAGAAGCAGTAGAACACAAGAGTTGAAAAGGAGGAGCAGAAGCTTAATGTTTTGCCGTCGCCACTTTAATTAATATTTATAGGTTATGCTCATTACATGGAAAGGACAGATCTGCCCTTAGTCTTTACATAACAAATAAAGCAAAAAGATTGAAATAAATAACACAACTGTAACAACTAAATGACCAATAGCTAACCCTAGGAAGACAAGAACACCTTCTACCCTACGAACACAGTGGGACCATAGCTGTGGGGCCCACATCAGTGTTCTCTACACTCCCCCTCAAGTT